CACAAACTTTGAATATCTAGGCTCCATAATAAATAACAATTTAGACTGTTTGACGGAAATTAAAAGGAGGATGGCCATAGCAATGCAAAGATTAAAGAGCCTAAAAAGTCTATGGTTAAGCACCAGCAAGGAGATCAAAATTAAAATTTTGAGAGCATGCATCTTCCCTGTAGCAACATACGGATGTGAGTCGTGGACTATCTCCAAGTCCTTAAAAAAAGAAAATAGGGGCTTTTGAGCTTAAATTCTATAGAAAGATTCTCAGAATATCTTGGACAAAGAAGGTGTAATAAGTGGTGTGTGTTTCTTCTCGTTGTCTAGGCAGTGTTCATGCGTGTGTGGTGGATGATCTTCTCACACGCTCCACGTTACACAACTGGCACAAGCCGACACCGATGTGAGCTTACGAGACATGAATTTATTGACGTATTTACACTTACAAAACAGAATGTCCGGTCGGTGTCCTAGTGAACAGCTCTCGTACCCAAACTCACGCAGCCTTCAACGAACAGTCTTCTTCAAGCATTCACTGACCAAAGTTGGCTCCCATGGATTAACGTTGAGGTTCTGGTCATCTCACACACTGGCATGGTCGATCTCGGCTTCACACTTCGTCGGCAGGGTCTCTTTTCTTCACAATCACTCTCACGTTGACATTCTCACTTTCAGTCGTACGTCCTCTGACTCCAACAGGTCGACACAAACTAAACTTGACCAGAGTCAAGTCTGACTTATACCACGGGTTCGTTTCATGTGACAACACGTGGTGGTCCTTTACTTTTCACGTGGCGACCTTGGGTCGCATCATCGTGGTCCCCGTGATAACCAGTGGTTAGTCACCTATCTCCAGATTCTCGTTTAATCCAAGTATCTGGACTATCTCGGTGTTTTAGGTCAGTTTTGGGCCTTCCCCCCAACCATCCTAAACTGGGTGAAAATATCCCCCATTACAGAAGAGGAGAAATACTGACATCTTCAAAGATCTGAACATCAAGGAAGATTGGCTAATAAACAGCATCCTGCCTCGGAAGCTGAAATATTTTGGTCATATTAAGCGCCACAACGGATTGGAAAACATTATAGCAGAGGGCATGGTACCAGGAAGGAGAGCAGGGGCCGACCAACTCAAAGATGGGCACATGATATAAGTGACTCCTTGAGTATGAAAGTTCATGAGGCGGGAGAACTGGCGAGAGACGAGTTTCTTTCAGGCAGACTGTGATGAGAGCGACGTTCTGTAAAGGACCTGCTACATTATGATGATGAGTGTTGTTGTAGTAGTGAAAGTATTATTGTTATTCGTAATAATAGTAGTATTAGTAGTTGTAGTTGTAGTAGTATAGAAGTAGTAGTAGCAGCAGCAACAGCAGCAGCAACAGCAGCAGCAGCAGTAGTAGCAGAAGTAATAGTGTAGTGGTATTAGTAGAATCAGCAGCACTCACAGAATCTGAACGTACAGCTATAACTTCTCCATTGTACAGATTATAAAAAAGTTCACTGATGACCTCAAGTGACGGCTGATAATTAATTATCTCCTCATGTCACGTTCAAAAGGTTAAAAATGGCACCCCATTCAGCTGCTCCAAACGTTGTCCCAGTTTTTGTGTGCCTCGATTAGTTATATTTTTTTCATTGTTATCAGTTGCAGAAGAGTACTTGTAGATTCTGGTGTTGGTCGTTTCCTGTTAGGAGAGTTGTCAGTGGATCTATCATCATAACTGTGCAGCAAGTAGTTTGCAGAGTTGAGTCAAAAATTGACATCACAGCACTTGGGGCATTCCCATGCGTGCTCCGTCCTCATCTTCAGCAGCCAGCGCGGAGTTCAAATACTGATGGTATCAGTCATAATCTGGTTATATGTCCGTCTTGCTTTTCCTCTAAATGTAGTGAGCCGGCCAGACCCTCTGATTACACCCAGGTGCCTCATTCTCCCCAGGCCATAATAATCTTGTTTCACTACTGATTCCGTTGCTTGTTCCCAGAGAGAACCACATCTGCCTTGTCATGTATTAATTCACCACCCAGTGGTGCAGATTTAATATCGAAGAATTATTTCTTCTGATTTTTTGTTTTGTTTTTGGTAGCAATTCTTTTCTTTCTCATTGTCTCCAAGAACCAATGTATTTGATTCTGTTTGGATGAAACCTGACCTTTCCTTCTGTATAGCTAGCTAGCTACAACTTCTGATGCATAGTAAGTAAAGTAAAAAGGTCCTTTTTCCACGCCTTTACACGAACTGGAAATATAGGGCTAGAGCTATATTTTTATAGACGAATCGGAACTTGGTGGATGATGTGGTCAGCATCACGCCGGTCGCCTTTTCTTCCCATGAATTCACCTAGTAGGCAATCAAGGCTGAGTCTACCTGGGAATCAAGGTACTTTTTTAATATTAGCCATTATCAGTACCAGAAACTTTTTAAGTTATATTTTTGGGGCTGCTCTAACAGACACTTTGTAGTGAGTATCGGCACCTTTTCTTGCTAGAAAAAGAAAAAAAAAAGTCCTGATATCATTGCTTATATTTGTTTCGATTCGAATGGCAAATTATATATTTAAAATAATATTAAACGTACTAAAACATGGTTGGGTAGGAAAGGGGGTTGGGGAGGGTGGGGGTGGGTTAACCTTTTTACACATTTATGGGAGGAGCTAAGCCCATCCCTGCAATTATTCTCAACCCTCTTTCAAGTTTTATGGGTGGTGGGGTGGGGAGGGGGGGGGGGTATCTGAGGCTCCAAAAGATGCGCCCATAATATAAGATATATGAAACCTTTTAAAATGCCCTAAAGCTACATAAAGTGCTGAGGTCACTACTAATTAAAATTGCACCAGCTACTCTAAAAAACGACCGGTGTAATGCTGACCACATTACCCACCTAATGTCGATTGGTCTGTAAAAATATGGGTGCTTTCCAAAGCCTAATGAGCCTAAAGGCGTGGGAAGAGATCTATACTCACTCCCCAAAAAGTATTAAAATGTATACGCTTATTAAATTTACCTATAATGGAAACAGATTGTTGTTTAATAGCAACTAAAAAGAAACAAAGAATGTGTTTGAAAAACGATAGCAGTTATGTTACATTATCCTCCAAAACGTTTAGTTTTTTTTTTTTAAATGGCAATGTTTGTTTAGGCCTCTGAATGCTGGGAGGCTTGATGCTGTAGATTATTTTGCTTAAGCCTTAATATAGTACTAATGCTGTTTGTCTGCCACAGACGGGTGTTATATTTACTGTCTTAAGAAAAAAAAAAAAAAAAAAAAAAAAAAAAAAAAACGCATAGTCACTTGAAGGAACAAACATTCTCACAAATTTCACCTTTTTTTGCATCTGGGTCACGATAGTTTTTAAGCGTATGCCTTTCCCGTTAGTATAGTGTTTGGCCTCCTCTTGTGTGGATCAGTAAATGACATCTCCTGCGATCAGATGTCTGATGTGGGACTGTGGGATGGCCGCCCACTCTTCCTGGAATGCTTGGAACAGATCACGACCGTTGGCTGGAGCAATGTTTTGGCGACAAACACGTCTTTTCAGCTCATCACACAGGTGCTCAATTGGACTCATGTCTGCAGACAGGGATAACCAGGGACGGGTTTAAATGTTTTTGGTAGCCATGAACTGCGTGGTTAGCTGTGCAGATTGGGGTCTGGCGTTGTCCTGTTGAAAAAGATATCTGTTGGCATCCCAAAATGGAATTACGCGTGGTCGAAGAATTTCATGGACGTATCGTTGCGCATTCAAGCTTCCTTCAGGTTGCACAAATTGACTCCTTTCGTTGTAACTGATCATTACCCATACCGTTACACCTCCAGCAGCGCGCAGCAGAGCTTCATCGACACAATTTTGGGCTAAACCTTCATTTCGTATACGTTAGACCCTACGCCGTCTATCATGACGCTACAACAAAAAGAAAGACACGTCACTGAACCAGACACGTCTCCACTGATTGTCACTTGCATAGGGATTATATTGGTTGGCCCAAAGAAGTCGATTTTGGCGGTGGCTACGCGTTAATACAGGTCCTCGGTGTGGTTGTCGAGCCCAAAGTCCGACATCATGCAGTCTGCTCCTAACAGTTTGATCAGACACATGACGTCCTGGAGGTAGTGCCTGTGTAGCCAAGGAAGCTGTTGAAAACCTGTCTCTGAGGTGACGAAGCCCAATAAAGCGATTATCCGCTGCTGTTGTCACTCTGGGTCGTCCACTGCGATGTCGGTCTTCAGCTAAACCAGTGGCTAGGAAACGGTGCCAAAGTCGATTGATGGTACTCTAATGCGTGTTTAGATGCCTGGCAACCTGACTTTTACTTTCTCCTGCCTGCAATAGGCCAATAGCAATATTTCTTAAATTTATCGACAGAGGCGCCATTCGTGACTGCTTAAAAATGAAATGATCGTTTTGGTGTAGCGTTATCTTTGTATAGGGTTTCAATTGCATAGGCAGTCAATAGTGTTCACCGCAATTTGTGTTGCTTCCTTTGTGTTGCAATGTTAAGTATGGTCTTAACACAATTGACCACTGTGTTGAAACGATTACAAAAACCCGCGCAATTCACGCCCACATGTCCACTGGACACGGTAAACAACATTTGAGTCTGCTTTTCACGTACGCGAGTGTGGTATTTTATTTACAAACTAATAAAAACGCGCCATCAGATAACTATGCGTTTCTTTTATTGAACAGTATATCCGAGTTATTATTTTAATTATTTCTGTGTAATAGCTCTGTTGATCATCATCTCCTTTTGACCTAAATAATTATCGCTCGTAAGCTCATCTCTTTACGCTCTAAGGAGTTTAACAGCTGCTTGGAAGAAAAAGAGTTAGTTGCTTTTATAAATCTTTTTTTTTTTTAAATAAGCTTTTTAAATCCCAGATTGCCCGATTCATTCCCTCCCATTTCTTCTTTTCATTCGTTATATTTGTTGTTGTTGTTGCTTAAATGACGTCATTGGCCCGACGGCAGCGCCACCTTCCGCAAACGAGTGTTGTCAACAAAATGGCGTCAAGCAAAGTGAACAAGCAGGTAAGGACATCGAGCTCAGGGTCGAGGGCAGTCAAGCGAAACGTGTTACACGCTGGAATTTTCAATTACCCTTAATTGTTCAAGGGCAATGAGAGCACAGCGTGACGAACATTCTTTGCTGACAGCTGCACTGTTGTGGTAACCGCATATGACCTCCAAGAGAAGGAAACGTGTTGTGCCTGTTAACGGTGGGGTCGCCATATCCGCGCAATCGTGCGCCTGCTACATTTTTGCGTCCGTAACATTTTATTATATCTGCATCAACGGCATACAGATTTACATCTATAGAGTCTCCTTTTATGTTCTAAAATAAAAAGCGATAAATGACACCTTTTTGATATTTAAAAAAGGCTAGATTTTGTAAAAAAAATAATAATAATAATACACCAAAGGAAAATGGGCCGATATATTATTTTTACGGAAATTGGGATTTTATTAACAACCCGGATCCGATCAGAATCAAGCCAAAGATCAGATGAACGATTCTAAAGCCTGAACATCATTTCTTAATTAAATTAGACATAATAAATAAAATGAAAAATGAATGCATATAGACTTTGTAAAACAAGCTGATTTTTATTTATTTAATAATTTATAAAACATTGCATTACCCCCCACCTCCCCCCCCCCCCCCATACATTTCAGCCATTATATAGTTATTGAGACAGTCATGGTTAATAAAGTAAAATGTGCCAGTATTCTTCTTTTTAGCATTCATTAGCTGTAAACGGATAGAAAATTTGGGTTGTTCATCCACTTCTGGACTTGGGCTTTGTTCTATAACTTGATGTTGCATGCACATCTGACAGATTTATTAATGGCTCTCCTCCGAACTTTTACCCCGGCATTATGGCACCGTTGGCCAGGCCGAACAAATATCCTTACTGGGCTCAGTCCTATTAAAAATATGCGAACTTCCGGCGATGAACGAATCGCAGCAAAACTTGGATTGGCTTTGTATAGCGAAACAAATGCTCTAACAGCGTCTCAGAAATATGTTAATTGCTGACCTGTTTCTTATTGTTTCTGATTACCTGACGATTTTAAGAGACACAACACTGCAGGCGATAGTAGCAGACGATAATAGTGACTGTTGACACTTTCCAGCATTTTTGCAGACGATAAAAGCGACTTGGCAGGGAGACTACGTGCGCCGACGCAGATTAGCATCGTTGTTGTCCTCAAACTTTTCGGCATGCACAAAACGCGGTTACACTTAGCGCCGACAGTATCCCCCGCGCCGCTACGTGCGGCACGGATGGGGGGGCTAAACTAGATGCCTGGGACTCATGAGCAAATTAAATGGAGGAAGTTGCAGGAGATGCGAAAGCTGCTGCTCGTGAGTCCCAGCCATCTAGTTTAGCCCCCATTGGCGCGCGCGTAGACCACTTGTTTCGCTATACGGAGCTGATCCTAGTTTTGCCGCGATTCGTTCGTCGCCGGAAGTTCGCATATTTCTAATTGGACTGAGCCCTGTAAGGATATTTCAGGCCGCCATAATGCGGGGTAGAAGTTCAGAGGAGAGCCATTAATTCATGCTTCTCAAGCAGATGCACTCTTTTTTAAAGGAAATTCTCTTAATTAATCACCTTTTATGACTCACTTTTTGGGGGACAATGAGTCTCTCCAGAATGGGGTTCCTTGACCCATACAAGGTCTCTTGCCAGCGTTCAGAAGGGAAGCAAAGAAAAGTACAAGTGTAACCTACCATGCGTGTCATAAAAGATGACAATGGAGGGTTGGGGTGGGACTTGATACCTCATCCTGCAGAAAGCTTTAGCTGCAAAATCCAACCATCATAAACAAATCTACAAAGTGCCTGGTGTGAGACCCAATCAGCCTTCTTACTTGAAAGCAACAGGCTCTTGTATTTAGAATGTGAACTGGAAACCATAGTCTCTGCAGCCATATGTACAGGAAATTCAAGACTGTGGATTCAAAACTTTACTTAGATGGAGAGGCACCACAGAATACTTAACATATGCTTGCAGACATGCTCTCTACATGCAGTATGGAGATCTCGGATCTGGCCAGTTAAGATTCTGGTAAAAACCAGCTGCATGAGTCAGTGGGGGACATGCATTGCACCTCAGCCTTCATAGAGGCAGTCACCTTCTTGTCTGAAAACCATTGACAGGGGAAACAAACAAGAAGAAGAAGATTGAGGGGTGAATGTTAGAACGAAAGAATCTGACATTGACTTCTTTTTTAATGTTCTGTAAATACATATAGCAGAGTGGCTTATAGATTTTACCCCCCCACCCCCTTTCCGTCAGTTGTTAAGAATACAAGAATGCATCCACCTGTTCCCCAGTATACATGTGAAAGTCAGAGTGCATCTGACAGAGACAAGGAGCCAACATGTAAAGTGGATGTGCATGCACTCTGGTTCTGGAATAGGACTATAGTCCAGAGATAAGAGGAATAACCAGAACTTTCTGCTGGAGTTTACAGCCAGTGAACTTGAAAAAGAAGACACCCATCTCTGCACCCACTTGGTGTGATTCATGGTGCTGGTTTTACAGATTTTTGCATAAGAAAATAAATGCTTACTTCCCTCTTAACCTGGAGAAGCGGATCAGATGCATAACTTACTCTGATAAGGGGAAAACTAGGAGGATAAAAATGTATTACAAATACTTCAACAGTTGAAAGTTCAATAGAGCACACAAGTTGGACTGTTATTCTTCCTTGTCTCCATTATTCTTAAGACTTTGAAGTTCATCACTGCAGAGATCACCTGTCTCCACTCGTCTGTGATTGGCCTTCTCTTTCCACTTGGTGATTGCAGATGTTTATAGGTCTGGCTGTATATTAGCTTTTCACCACATTTTTGGTGTGCCTCATATTCTTACTTCTATTCACCCCTTTGAATTTCTGTCCAGACTGTATTTAAAAATTAGGAAAGCTATCCTCAAAAGAATATTTATAGCATATTTTATTCTATTGTGCGCACTTGAATCCTTACTGACGCTGCAGAGTTCACGCTCTGTGATAAAACACACCTTGTCAGTCTGAGGAATATTGCAGCACTAATGAGATATCTGTGTGTAGTGGATGTGGTTCTTAAATAAAAAAAATTAAAATGTAATCGGTCTTAGTCCATTAAAAGATTTAAAGTCGAGAGGATCAACTTTACGGCACCAGTTTATTTCCCTAATGGTTCAGTCCTTCTCTGCAGAATGCCTAGCCTCCTGGAAAGTGTCACACAAAGTACGAGCTCTGTAGCATCAGCAATGATCCTTAGGGATGTATATAAATTGCATATATGAACTCGATAAAGTTGTCCATGAAATGAATCCATGATATTCAAAGAGCGGCAAAAGGTTTAGCCAGTCTTTATCAGTTACCATAGATAGGTCCTCATACATGTTTGGTCCTTCAGGATGGCCCCAGGGCCGAAAGCTACCGATATGCAGTTACCCCAACTGATGATGAGAAGAAGAAAAAGAAAAAGAAGAAGGGAGATAACTTGGATGAGCTCAAGCAGGAGTTGGACATGGATGAGCACAAAATCCCGATTGAAGAGTTGTACGAAAGATTTGGTGCTGATCCTGTTAATGTAAGTCTTTACTCCCTGTGTATTTCTGTAGCCAGTATCTGTTTTAACTCATCTTGTTAATGTCATTTTGTTTTATACTTGTGTGTGTGTGTGTGTGTAAAAATAAGTTAATATTTTACTGTGGCTTTTTTTCTCTCCAGCTTTATTTATGTAGCCATAAGCTGTTTAATTATGTTAATGTTAAGTGTTTTGTGTGTGTGTGTGTGTGAATTCACTGTTTAATTAATTTTGTTTATGAGTGTTTTACTGCTGTAATTGTGTAGTTGCTAGCTATGTAGCATATTGTATCTGCTTAGAGCCGACCGGAGAAACAAGATAGTGATTGGATGTGTAATGGAGAGAGAGACAGAAAGATTATCAAAAGAGGGTTAGAAGGAGAGAGGGTTTATGGATAGAAATATGGAAATTGAAAATTAGATTGGGTGAGAGAGAAATGGAGATACAAAAGAGGAGATAGGCATACTTAGGACAGAGTAGGAAGGACAGAGAGGAAATTGACATGATTATAGATGGTGACATAGTCATAGAGGCTGCATGAGGCAAGAGTGGTATTTAGGAGAAAGGAAAGCATACAGGAAGCATTGTAGTGAAGGAGAGAGAAAGCAGAAAGTCATATATATATATCTATATATATATACAAATCAATGTTTGTGTGTTTGTTTGCCCCCTATAGACTCGGAAACTACTGAACCGATTTAGCTGAAATTTTCAGGATATGTTTGTTTTGATACCGGATTTTGAACCATCATGGTTTGAAATTCAACCTGTCACTGTTAGAGATAGGTGACCACAATTTATGCCATAATATTCGCAACTAATATTTATAACTTTAGTGATTTCTAATTATAGCCACGTTAGTAATTGCGCATGCGCCGCCGTAGTCAGAACGTAAGGCTTCCGCCATTCGCCGGCGAGTTACGTGCAGCCAACGCCTTAATACATAGAGTAGGTCGAGGTACCGCAAACAAGACTATCTCTATATTTGCCACAATAACCATATTAAACACGATTTCTATTTTCTGTTTGTTTTTCAAACAACCTTCGATGGGGAGGGGGCAATCAAGGACTATCTCGACGTCGGCGCAGACATTGACTGCGTCATTAACTTCATTAGACTGGTGCGATTTCCATTGTCTTTCTTTTCTAAAAACCTTTGATGAGGGAGAGGGTAGTATGTGGATTTAGTTGTGGGGTGGAGGGGGGGGGGGTGGGTGGGGATCAAAGACTATCTCAAATTACGCCACAGCAACGCGTGGCCGGGTACAGCTAGTAATATATATATATATATATATATATGAATACAGCAAATCTTTTAGTGTTACACATGTATAAATAATGTGTTCAGTCACCAGTGTCCAGTATGGTAATGTCATCTGTACATCCTGTCCACTTTACAGGGACACACAGTTGAGAGAGCCAAAGAAATTTTTCTTCGTGATGGTCCAAATGCACTGACCCCACCCAAGACCACCCCAGAGTGGGTCAAGTTTTGCAAGGTCTTGTTCACTGGGTTTTCCCTTTTGCTGTGGATTGGTGCCATTTTGTGCTACATTGCCTATGGCATCCAGGCCAGTCAGAGCGAGGACCCCCAAGGAGATAATGTGAGTTGCTTGTTTCTCTCACTTTGTTTTAACTTAATGTTTGTTTGGTTAGATGCATTTTAAGTTTCAGAACATCAGTTGGAAAATATGTAAGAGGAATTGAAAGCAGAATATCAAAATATGGGTTCTAGAGCTCTCCCGGAGAGGAAAGAATGGAGCCATTGCTCTTTACCAAGAAGGACACTAATTAGGGATTTGCCAGAATCAGATGCTTTAGCTCAAAAGTAAAGGAGGCTGGTATGATGTGAATCTCATCACCCATTGAGTGCCAACTGGTATATACAAATATAGGTCTAGCAATATAAGCCAGGTGCACTGTGGCTAAAAATGCTCCTCTACTTTGCTTATTGGCCTAATTATTACCATTTTCTCGCTAAGGAATGATTTACAACTGTCAAAAGCCAAAAACTTGGCTCCCAGGTTGACACAGCCTCAAATGGATACCAGCCAAAGTCCTGGAAAGTAAAGATGGCTGATGTCACCCACTGAGTGCCGATTGGTCTATAAAATATGGCTCTAGCCCTATATGCCCAATACCTGAAGATACGAAAAAGGGTCATTTACTTACTTTAAAAAAAAGCATAGCATGCAATTATCATAATGTTGATTTAGCCTGTTTATTTCAAAAAATTTTTTTTTTAAATGACAGCTATACCTCGGAATTGTGCTGACAGCTGTCGTCGTGGTGACAGGGATTTTTTCCTACTACCAGGAGGCAAAAAGCTCCCGCATCATGGATTCCTTCAAAAACATGGTTCCTCAGGTGAGCATATATTACCTGTGTCATGCTGAGCCTTTGGTTTAAAAAATTTTTGTCATGGTTGGAAAAGGTTAGAATTAACATACTATATAGATAATCAGTTTTTCTAACAGAGGGTCTAATCCAGAGATTCTTTTGAAAGGAAAACCTTGTTATAAAGTTTTTGTGAATAGAGTCTTACGACAAATCTCTAGACTTATCGAAGATGCAGGTTTAGGTTTAGATGATGAATCAACATCATGGCACAAAGGTAGTAAACCATTATTGCTCCATTCTCAAGCCTGAGTCTGAAGAATCTTATTGCAGTACACAAACTCCGAAGCACCAGTGAGGATCCTGAAATACTTTTAGGTATTTTTGTTTTAACTTCCAATTTTGCCCGGGCAGAGCCATTAGTCCACTCTTTTTTGATTTCTAATTGCCAAGGGATATTTTTACGTACACAACAATTAGGGCTGTACCGAATAGTGATTTTCACTATTTGGCTGAATACGAATAGCGGGACCAATTATTCGGCCGAATACGAATAGTGTATCATCATCAGGTGCTTTGCCGACTGGCGTTGGCCATTTTGCCTCGCCACAATCTGCGATCTCCTGCAGCATGTATTTGTTCGTGTGCTGACACACCTCTATGCCATGCAACAAGACTGTCAAGAATCTTCTCTCGTCTTTCTCTATCTCTCCATCCACAGATCTTTCCAGTGGTCACCACATGTTCCATTTTCCCTCTTCTCATAACATGGCCGAAAAATTATGACTGTCTACTTCTGATGTCTGTGATTAGTTGTCTTTGGGCTCCCACCTCTTTCAAAACCTTGTGGTTGCTTTTTTTTTTTGGCTGTCTAAGGTATTTTAAGCATTATTCTGTAAAACCACATTTCTGAGGCCTCAAGAAATTGTTTGGCCTGCCTACTGATTGTCTAAGACTCAAGCCATATGTTTAAACTGGATGTATGTAGCAAGCAAGAACTCTTTTTATAACCTTCAATGACAAAGATATATTGCATAAGATGTTCTTCATTTTATAAAATGCAGTTTTTTTCCTGTCCTATTCTGTTTCTTATTTCAGTAATGCATCTTCCATCGGATGTTATCCATGTGCCAAATCACATTTAAATCATCGTTGGCTCGGCCGTTCAATCGGTATAATTTAAACGCACCTTCATATTCTTGTTAGGAATATCTTCAAATTTGATTTGGGCAAAGACACCCTGAAGAAACGAAAAAATGCATGCTCTCTCTCTCTCTCTCTCCCTCCCTTCCTCCCTCCCACCCACCCAAGACCCACCCACCCATGGATGGCAAATGCTTACATTCATTTCTGCATATATACGTAAATACATCCATTTATTTATTTGTCTTCCCATATTAGTTCTGAAACCCCATTATGGGGAACAAAAGAACTGCCCCACTGCCCCTCTAAAAAGCATGTCCTAGAAGGTGACTAATTAGGTGTGTTTCCTTTGAAGTTAAAGTGGATCTACCTGAGAGGCAAGGGACCAGAAGTCTGCATACAAATAAGACAGATCTGTAAAATGGATGTGCATGAAAAAATTAGTTCTGGAACAAGACCAAAGACATGGGTGAACAACTAGAACTTCTGCCGGACTTTACAGCTGGTAAACACGAAGAATAAGAAGATTTATTCATCCATACTCTAGTTCCAGTTGATTAACAAAAATTCCAAACTTGATCTTTTTTCAGCCGCCTGGACGTCTGCTATATGAAGGAAGGTTCCTTGGCTATCTTACTTGGTTTCCTATTCTTCGTGGTGTGAAGTCATACCTGATATTCCTGTTCTTTGTCTTCCTAAGTCTGGTGCCATACATATAAACATCCATCCATACATAAGTGCATACAGACAACTCTTATCACAACATACCAGAAAACCACTATCAAGTGCCAGCTGGTAAGCCTCGTGAACTCTCATTGCCAGGGCCTGCTGGAAATCTTGTGTCCACTCTTGTGCTGGTTGACCCCTGCCTAGTGCTTCAGGAGCAGTACCCTCCATTACGGTTCACTCCACACCATTATGGCATTTAACATGACTATACTGTAACCGCGTCTTTTATTTCAGTATGCTATTGTGATCCGTGGAGGCCAGAAGTTGAGTGTCCATGCTGAAGAGCTGGTGCTGGGTGACATTGTTGAGGTCAAGTTTGGTGACCGTGTGCCGGCTGACATCAGAATTGTCTCTGCTCATGGATTTAAGGTAAATATCTGAATTACCATTTGAGATTTAAGGTAAATATCTGAATTACCTCTGCTCTGTGATTTAAGGTAAATATCTGAATTACCTCTGCTCTGTGATTTAGGGTAAATATCTGAGTTACCTCTGCTCTGCGATTTAAGGTAAATATCTGAGTTACCTCTGCTCTGCGATTTAAGGTAAAAATCTGAGTTACCTCTGCTCTGTGATTTAAGGTAAATATCTGAGTTACCTCTGCTCTGTGATTTAAGGTAAATATCTGTGTTACCTCTGCTCTGATTTAAGGTAAATATCTGAGTTACCTCTCTGAGATTTAAGGTGAATACCTGAGGTACCTCTGCTCTCAACTGTAAGGTACATATCTGAGTACCTCTCTTTGATGTAAGTTAAATATACAAGTTCCTCTCTGAGATTTTAGGTATATATCCAAGTTAGCTCTGCTCTGAGATTCAAGGTAAATATCTGAGTTACCTTTCTGAGATCTAAAGTAAATATCTGAGTTGCCTCTCTGAGATTAAAGGTAAATATCATAAGATTTAAATGTAAATATTCGAGTTATCACTTATCACTGAGATTTAAGATAAATATCCAAGTAAATATCTCCTATATTTATGGAAATCTGACGTAACAAAGAAATTCATGATGTCTCATGTAAGAATGAAACTGATGAAATCTCATGCTGCAGTGTAATTAGTTATGTCTCATATAACAGGTAGACAACTCTTCCCTGACGGGTGAATCTGAACCTCAGTCTCGTACAGCAGAGTTCACCCATGAGAATCCACTGGAAACCAGAAATCTGGCTTTTTTCTCAACTAACGCTGTTGAAGGTAAGTTGGTTATTGAATGAAAGTCTAGTCATTGGGCATTAGTTAAAAAAAAAACATTATTGCTGGGGAACCTTCCACAGGGTCGTCTGTGTATTGTGTCTTGTCTTGATTCTTGCTTTGCCAGTTTGCCTAGTGTTGGAGTGACCAGGTGTCTGGGGGATTTTCAAAATATATTGGAGTGACTGGGTGGATTGAAATAATAAAGGTAAATTGAGTATGTCATTTCCTGAAATGATAAAGAATGCGTTGGAATGTCTGGGTGTGGGCTGGAGTGACTAAGTGTAATGGAATTACACCAGGTGTGTTTTGAAATGACCAGGTTTATTGGAATGACCATTGTGTGTTGGAATAACTAAATATAATGGAATGACACCAGATGTCTGTTGAAATGACCAAGCATGTGTTGGAATGATCACATGAATGTCGGAATGACCAGATGTGTGGCAGGCACACTCGAACATTTTCTGAGATAAACTGATCAGTAGTGGAAAGAGATCTTTATGTTGTCTTTACGAATATATTACACTTGACCAATACATGTATTAAGTGTTTGAACCTTAACCTCCAGCTCCATTCTACCACTGAACAGGTACAGCCCGGGGCATCGTTGTGAAGACTGGAGACAAGTCTGTGATGGGCCGCATTGCCAACCTGGCCTCTGGTCTGGAGGTTGGAGAGACCCCCATTGCCAAGGAAATTTCTCACTTCATTCACATCATTACCGGCGTGGCTGTCTTCCTTGGCGTGACATTTTTCATCATTGCGTTTATTCTTGGCTATTTCTGGCTGGATGCTGTCATCTTTTTGATTGGTATCATTGTGGCCAATGTTCCTGAAGGTCTGCTGGCCACTGTCACGGTAAGCTAATTTTGTTGCTGTGATTGGAATAAATATTATGTCATTATGTTTGGATTCTTGACCTTAACTAGAGCCCGTCTTACAATATTGTCCTTATCTTGCCTGCCAGAGACAAGAACAAGAGCCATTCTATGAGATATATTGTGGAGACTGGTGAAAACCTCAAGTGCATTGTCCCTTATGCAACCCCATGCTGGAATAGATCAGCTAGTGTTATAATTTATAATAATCAGCCAGCAGCTAGAGTATACTCCATGAGAACAGTAGGGTTGAAGGCGAGAGCCCGACCAAGCAGAGAGTCAATGAGACACTACAGAAATGCACATTGGCATTAACACAAACTAAGTAACTAGCAAAAGACAGTAAACTACATCTAACTCCTCTCTGTGATGCTTCACAGCATAAGCAGTAGGACAAAAGAAGAAGCTGAAATAGAAGTATAGGAAACTGATCAATGAAGAAGAAGAAACTTGGTGACCATCTTGGCTACTATGAAATAGCAAACATACAAAAACAAACATTCATAGTCTGAATTAATGATGGACATAATGTATCACAGAAGGGTTGAATAGGATGTTATTAGCATAAATAAAGTTAGCTGCACATAATTTACAAGGCATTGCAGAACCAACCCCAGCATTTATTGGCTTGTGTGGTTTTTCTAGGCAAATTATGTGTCTAGCAGATTGCTATTGTTCTCTGAACAGTCAGCTCTCGATACCACTGTCAAAACCAGGGCAAGGCCTGCGGCTGTATTAGAACCTGGCACACTGGCATTACGAAGCTCAGTGTAAACATAATAAAATACTATATTAATTTTGTATAGTATGGTGATACAGTTATCGCCCAACATTTTAGACTTTGAGACTTTAACTTGTTTGTGGTAACCTGCTGAAATGATTGTGGTAACCTGCTGAAATGATTGTGGTAACCTGCTGCAGAGCTGTTTTTGTCTGTGCAAAAATGTTATAAAATTTACTGAAAGTGTATCTGATATTGAACGCTACAGGATTTTACCTTACTGTAGGTGTGTTTGACTTTGACTGCCAAACGAATGGCCAAGAAGAATTGTCTGGTGTAAAAACTTAGAGGCTGTAGAGACCCTAGGCTCCACATCCACCATCTGCTCTGACAAGACTGGAACTCTGACCCAGAATAGGATGACAGTTGCTCACATGTGGTTTGATGGACGCATTGTGGAGGCAGACACCAGCGATGACCAGTCAAGTAAGTGAATTTTCTAGTTTATTTTCTCTAGTCGCTGTTTCTCCTCTTCTTCATTGTTCATCTGTGGTAATCTCCGGCAGGAATTTCTGGTTGTTCATCCATTTGGACTGTGGCTTTGTGCCAGGGCCTAAGTTTTGAACATCAGTTCTATTGGTTGATTTGTGTTCAGTTGGTTGTTCCTTGTTACTCAGGCACACACACTCTTGACTTCAAAGGAAGCTCCCAATTAGTAAACTTCTCTGACCTGCTTGTTGGGGAACCAGTGGGTCAATTCTTGTTTACCTCACAGTTGGGCCCTGACACCCACACAGGGAGTCCTGGTTCTGCCTTTCTCGGCAGCTTTTGAAGAACTGTCTGATGCAAACCTTGGGGTTTGAAACATTGACACTCGTATTCATGATTCGTGAGCTTCGTTGATTGTGCGAACATGATGTATTGGACATTGCCATTTATATTTCATTGGAATTTATTCAGTTTTTGTGCGCTTTATTATACATTGATGTAACTCTGTAGTAATGCACCTGACGAGATACAGTGAAATATACCTGGCAATAAATTGTGCAATGTATTGTTTGTGTCTGCATTATTTAAAATCATTACGCGAAAACCTTGTTTTGAAAATATCTCTCCACGAAGGATGCTGGTTACAGTGCATCAACATGTTATCATTGGGAACATTATGTCTGAGGTCCCAATCTCTTCCACAGGGCCATTTTTGTAACACTGCACATGACACTAGAATGGTATTTCATGGTGGTTTGCAGCAACTTTAAACAATAAAGCTATGGGTTGTATCAATCAGTTAAGGTGCCATCTTCCCAATGAAAGATGGCTGTAATAGGCACAAGTATAGTGTGAAATGTACTCATTGTTTGAACATCCGTGTTCCAGATGCCTCATACTCCCGCAATGACCCAACCTGGTTGGCCCTAGCCAGGATTTCCATGTTGTGTAACCGTGCAGAGTTCAAGGTTGGACAAGAGAATGTTCCTGTTCTGAAGAGGTAAGATGATCTCCTGTGCTCGTTCAGACATTTATACCTATTCTGTGTCACTATAATGTTTAACAAAGCACATGGAGAAGAGAGTTGTGGTGAAGTTAAAAAGATGGTTAGGATATGGGTGAGCTGCGTACGATAGCAAAAGATAATAGGACAGTGTTAGTTAGTGAAGGCTTTGTACTCCAATGGGGGCAGTATATGTGCTGATATTTTGAATGCTCTGTGAGATGTAAAAAAACGTTTGCGAGGACCAGGTGATGACTGAATCTGCAACCATGACTACAAGAACAGCATGTTAAAAGTGGTGGGGCCAGACAAGAGCACTAAGCAGGAAGCCAAAGAAGGAGAAACAAACATAGAATTGGTGTGTGAGCCGTTACACACTGTGGGGTTTACTAAGGAGGGGATCCAAGCACTTCTGAACAAAATGGAACAAGTTAATTCTAACTCTTTCAGTCCTAAGCAAAGTGCAGTGTGTAAATGACGCTGGTCATTAAATCCAAGTCATTAGTTAAAGTGATCTGTTACTTTTTAACATTTGGTCAAAGGGCTTTCCCACTGGCCACTTCCACTGTGTATTCATTCTTGAAGTCATGCGCTTATGCTTTTTCAGACTGTTTTTTCCCCTTGGGCATCTACAACATAATGTTCTGACTTTGAAGAAGTTAATTAAATGAAAATTTAATCTTTGTGGAAAAGCAGCACAGGTGATGGGTGAAATGAAATAAGATGAGCATTGTTGGATAATAACATAACATTAACAACTATTTGTCGAATGGAAAGAATTTCCATGTGGGTTAGTGGCTCCATTTTAGTGGAAGAAGAATAGGCCCATTGCTTCCTTAACAAGAATATCATACAAGGCTTTGTTGGGTTGAAAGGCATAAATATCCCTGCTGGGCTGTAAACCACAATTAATGATGCCAACTGCTGTTTCAGTTTGAATGCAGAAGAAGGAGGAGAATAGAAGGAATAAAATGTTATGACAGAATCATTAATACTGAGCTAGAGGAGAAAACTAAACAAATACTAGTCACTCGGGAGGTGAGAAAAAATATGCTGACACTGGATGGGACAGGGTTTGAGAAAACCTGATAATAGTGTAATTAGTATGTCCTTTCACTGAAACCTCCAGGGCAGAAGAAAAAGAGGGAGATATTAAAACAGGAAGAAGAGAATTCAAACAGACATGAATATTTTGTGGAGGACAAGGGAGTGAACCACAGTAAGGGGTAAAAATGTGATAAGTTGACTAAAGGCATGTGCGTAGGAAACAAAAAGTACAGAAGAAGAAAGGATGAGAGTTAAAATTTGGCAAGAATTAAACACAAAAGGTTTGCCTTAATTAGGGACAAGGACAAACGTACAAGTGAAATGCATCATACGTTCATAGGTTCATACCTAGAAGCCCAATGATCGTATGATGTGCCAATTTTATTACTTTCTTTACTACCCCCTGGGCCTGTGATGCCAAACTCCCTGGGACTCAAAGAGTTAAACAAATTTTTGAGTATTTTACTGAATGTACACCTTTTCATGTTCAAATTCTCACCAAAACAGGATGAAAAAAAAAAAAAAAACCAGTGTTTAACCCTTTCTGTAATTTAAGATCTTTAACATGTATCAGTTCGTGTACTGACACCCCTCCTTGCTATGGCAAAAAGCTATACAGAATCTTCTCACGTTGTCTTTCCACAAATCTTTCCAGTCATCATTGCCTGTTCCAGTTTCTTTCTTCTCACAGTGGGTGCCTGCCTGTATGCATGTATGTATGCGCGCGCGCGCGCACGCACGCACGCACGCACACACACACACACACACACACACACACACACGCGCGCGCGCGCGCGCGCGGCGCGCGCGCACCACACACACACACACACACGCACGCACACACACACACACACACACACGCACGCACACACACACACACACACACACACACACACACACACACACACACACACACACACACACAGAGATGAGAGAGATACACATAGAGACACATAGACACACACACAGATGCACACAGACACACACACATAGACACACACACATAGCCAGAGAGAGACTCATGCAGACACACACACCCCCACACCCAGACACACACACAGACATACACACACAGAGACAAACACACACACACACAGACTGACACACACAGAGACAGATACTCATAGGGACAGACACACGGAGACAGAGGCACACACACACACACACACACACAGAGAAGGAGACACATACAGAGAGACAGACACACCCAGACACACACACGCAGACAGACCAGAAATGTATGTTTATCTTACAGTGAACATTAATGTCCTGGTTATAATTAAAATAGCTGAATAGGATATTTATATAAAAACTGCTACTACAGAAATTGAAACTGCCAATAACAATCTGTATACATAGATGAACATAAATGTTCTTAATTTGAATCAACAGGGAATGTAACGGAGATGCATCTGAGTCTGCCTTGCTGAAATGTGTGGAGCTTTCTATTGGAAATGTCACTGAGTTTCGTCGCAGAAACAAGAAAATTACTGAGATACCATTTAATTCAACTAACAAGTACCAGGTAAGCATGTTGGTTTAGTTTGGCCAGGTTTTTTAGAAACTGAAGCATAGAATAAACCATATTTGTGATGTAAAGAAATATAAAGTAGTTAATGTTAAAATTTTAAAATGTAATATCAAACATGAATATAAATATGAAAGAGATGAAAAACATATTTAATCTTGAATGTTGAAATAAAAATCAACAGCCCTCGGGACACTCCCATAAGTGCTCAGTCCCCGTCTTCAGCAGCAGGCGAATAGTTCCAATTCTGATGGTACCAGTAACCCTCTAATTATACATCTGTCTCATCCTTCCCCTGCTGTCTTCCGCTGGCTTGAGAAACAGCTGTACACGCATGATTGTAACTGACTTACAGAGCATGTTAAGAAAGGTGAAAACAGGCATGCTTCGTGCAGAGTATCACTTTAGAAGTCCCGGGTAGTTAGAATCTTTTTGATATTTTCTTCAGGTTATGCTGGTGTGTTGGGAAATAAGCAGGTGGATAGACTGGCTGGTTCTACACCTCTTGGTGTTGAACTGATGTATGACAAGCTGGATGTTGTGAGGGCTGTTTGGGAGCAATTAAAGAGTGCGAAGGCACATATAGATTAATATGGTCTGAGGAGAATGGCTCTGCGAGGATTTACAAGGGGATCTGGCCGGTGCTCAGAGGAAAGGCAAGACATATATATATTCAGACAGTTACTGGTGTCACCTGAATTGTAACTCTTCATTTGCTGCTGAAGATGAGGACGGAGCGCTTATGGGTTTCCCGATTGCTGTGATGTCAATTCTTAATTCAACATTCAACATTTTTTTTAAACAAGGTACAGTAATGCAAATTCTGTAGTTTCTGCCTGCACAGAAACGGAGATGTTATGGCATGACCTGTTTGCTATAAATTTGGAGCTGCAACTGACTGATTAACTTACTTGAAATAATGTGTCACAGCCGTTTGCTACCTTGTCACTTCCAGGTCTCCATTCACGAAACTGACGATCCCAATGACCCACGTTACCTTTTGGTGATGAAGGGAGCCCCAGAAAGAATCATGGACCGTTGTTCAACGATTCTCATGCATGGAAAGGAGCAGCCCCTTGATGATAATTTCCGTGAGGCATTTAATGCTGCTTATATGGAGCTTGGAGGCCTAGGGGAGAGAGTCCTTGGTAATTGTTTCATTACTTTCTCATCTTGTTAACTGGATTAGTGCAGTAAAGTGTAATGTATATTTAAACATCTAGTTTGGGAATGGAGGCTTCAGAGGTTCCGGGTAGTTAGCGTACTTTGTAAATTTTCTCTGGGGAGTGCAGGGGTGTTGGAAAATAAACAGGCAGGCTAGATATATGGGAGAAAGTTAATAATGTGGAGGCACGAATAGATCATTATGGTCTGGAGAGGAAGGTACAACTAGAAGTGACCAGGGGATCTGGTCAGCGCTCTACACTCAGAGTAAAAGCGGAATGTACATATACCTGGGCGGGCGGATGTGCCAGGGACCGTGCTTATATACAGAATACTCTGTGAAAAGTGAGACATTTGTGAGAACCAAATGATGACTATAAATCTGCAACCATGATCATATGGCAAGAACAGCATGTTAAAAATGCTGCTGGCACCGATGGAATTGGAACCCTTCACTGGCAATGGCTGAAGATGAGAATGGAGCACTTAATGGAATGTCCCAAGCACTATGTTGTCAGTTCTTAGCTCAACACTGAACATTTGTGAACTGGGCTGTGTTAGATCTTTTAGTTGTGAACACGTCATTGTCATCCTGCACGTTTGGCAGGCAAATAGGTTTTGAGAAGTGAATGTTGTTTGATGTCTTGATTCAAGGTGACAGTGCCACATGAGATAATCATTGTCATTCTGTTATGCCATTATGTCACATAGGGCTCGCAGCCTAGGGCTCCGTTCTCTTCCCTTTGATATCGTTGATGGAATCTAGTTAAGCGCCTTTGGCCTCTCTCAACAATGTTCATCTTTTAGTTTGTCTTGGCTGTTCTCATTTCCTCAGTATGTTTGTTTCCCATTGATCAGTGATTCTGTCATCTAGTGATAGACTGCAAGATTAGTCTCTCCATCACTGTGGCTCGTTACAGAAGCAAAGAGTAGTAGCACTGTAACCCTTCATGCATATCTTAAGAGACAGTTCAGGAGGGTTGGTGAGAATCTGACTAGCTTTAACTGCAAGATTAAAGTAAAAATAGGATAACAGAGGGCTTTTCTTGAGTTCATTAAGAGCCTTTTACTCTTTGTAAGACATTTGTAAGAATCTGATGATGAGCACTCTGCAACCATGACCAGACTGCAAGAAGAACAAGTGAGGCCAGACAAAGAGCAGTTTTTAGGAAGCTAAGGAAGTATATTAAACCACTACAGAACTGACGTCGGCAGCCACTTCAGGTTTTGGGATTTACCAGGCAGGGGATCTAAGTACTTATAGATAAATTTGTTCAGTGTGCAACAGGGATGATCTGTCAACTGACTGAATAACTGATGGTTGATTTATAATGAGGATGATCTGTCAACTGACTGACTGACTGAATAACTGATGGTTGATTTATAATGAGGATGATCTGTCGACTGACTGACTGACTGACTAATGAAGAGATGGTTGATTTTTAGTGAGAATGATCTGTCAACTGACTGAATAACTGATGGTTGATTTATAATGAGGATGATCTGTCAACTTTATGACTGACTGACTAACTGATGGTAGATTTTTAATGAGGATGATCTGTCGACTAAATGACTGACTAACTGATGGTTGATTTATAGTGAGCATGATCTGTCAACTTTATGACTGACTGACTAACTGAAGGTTGATTTATAGTGAGCATGATTTGTCAACTTTATGACTGACTGACTAACTGATGCATGATCTGTATGATTTATAACTGAGGAGTGAGCTGATCTGTCAACTATGACTGACTGACTAACTGATGGTGGATTTATAGTGAGCATGATCTGTCAACTTTATGACTGACTGACTAACTGATGGTAGATATATAGTGAGCATGATCTGTCAGCTTTATGACTGACTGACTAACTGATGGTTGATTTATAGTGAGCATGATCTGTAACTTTATGCTTTATGAGCATGATCTGTCAACTTTTATGACTGACTAACTGATGGTTGATTTATAGTGAGCATGATCTGTCAACTTTATGACTGACTGACTAACTGATGGTTGATTTATAGTGAGCATGATTTGTCAACTAACTGACTGACTAACTGATGGTTGATTTATAGTGAGCATGATTTGTCAACTTTATGACTGACTGACTAACTGATGGTTGATTTATAGTGAGCATGATCTGTCAACTTTATGACTGACTGACTAACTGATGGTTGATTTATAGTGAGCATGATCTGTCAACTTTATGACTGACTGACTAACTGATGGTTGATTTATAGTGAGCATGATCTGTCAACTTTATGACTAACTGACTGACTAACTGATGGTTGATTTAAAATGAGGATGATCTGTTGACTGACTGACTAACTGATGTTATATATAGTGAGCATGATCTGTCAACTTTATACTGACTGACTAACTGATGGTTGATTTATATGAGCTGATCTGTCGACTAACTGACTGACTGACTAACTGATGGTAGATATATAGTGAGCATGATCTGTCAACTTTATGACTGACTGACTAACTGATGGTTGATTTATAATGAGGATGATCTGTCGACCAACCAACCAACCACATAATTAAGTTACTAACTCTATTTCAAATTTATTAAATGGCTATTGATATTTACTTTGATCCATTTAATGTATTCCAAAATCAATAGGCTTTTGTGACTACATTTTGCCTGCTGATGAGTTCCCTCCCAACTATGAATTTGACCCAGAAGGACCAAACTTTCCCCTCACGGGTCTGAGATTTGTGGGTCTGATGTCTATGATTGACCCACCCAGAGCAGCTGTTCCAGATGCTGTTGGCAAGTGCAGAAGTGCTGGGATTAAGGTAAGCACATGTCATTGCCATTACGGCAAAGTTGCTGATGAAGAATTTTGGCAGTCTCAACTAAGTGCATTTTGAGGGCTGTAATTTGTCACCAACCTCCCTATACGTGAATGAAGTATTATTTTTCATGCAGCTACACAATCTGCATTAAGAGGAATCTGGAATTATTGCATCAAGAAATGGACAGGACTAAGTTTTTATATATTTATCAAGTGGAAGACGGAGGAAGTTGGCGGGTTTTATGTGCGAGTGTTTCCATCAGTACACCTCCACGACCCTAAGCGATCAGGGGTTATGTTATGTTACAATCTTCATTTACTATTTAGCAAGAATTTTACACTTAGGTGATTTTGGTCTAGTGCCAGTTATGTACTGTAGATGTCTTGAGTTTGGGACAGGACTTCAGCACTTTACCATTATCTTGGGACAAATCTGAAGCAAGCCACATGTTTCTCATCACGGGTACAAGTCTCAAAACCTCACATTTAATTAGTCTTGGGTAAAATTCTTGAAAAAACATTACCGTTTTAATTGCGGGTGACAGATATGTCACACAGTTCTTCTCATTTTGGGCACAAGTTCAAAAAAAAAAAAAAAAAAAGGCAACATTACTCATCTTGGGTCCTGGCCGAATGATTAGAACACTTTACTCTCACACGGAAGACCCAGGTTTTATCCTCAATAAGGCTGGGGATTTGTTTTACTCAGGGGCAAAATAAAATCCTCACCATGCGGCCATAAATCCTCAGGCTCAAAGACCCCCCCCTCCCCTGCCTACAATGCAAAAGTGGTATAACAGGGACAGTAATTGGCAGTTTTTGGGTACAAGTCTATTAAATATCGCATATCTCATCTTGAGTATAAGTCTAAAAGAGGTCACACATCTCATCTTGGGTTCAAGTCAAAAAAAATGTCACATATCTCATTTTGGTACACGTCGGGGGAAAAAAACCTGACAAAAAACCTCACATTTCTCAGCTTTAAATAACACCACACACAATACATTGATTACGACATTCCTGTTTACTGTCATATAGGTTATCATGGTAACTGGTGATCACCCGATCACAGCCAAGGCTATTGCTAAAGGTGTCGGCATCATCTCTGAGGGAAGCAGGACCGTGGAAGACATTGCTGCTGAAAGAGGTGTTCCTGTTGAAGAGGTTGACCCAAGGTGAGCTGGGCTATTTTGATACTGACATTAAGCCATTAAAAAATGTGTGCCATCTCAACAACAAAGGTTGCTGGAATGTGTTCACTGATAACTGGGATTACAGGGTTTGGCCCCTGTCCCTTCCATGGTGTGACTCTTGTCTAACTTTCTGAAAGCCACAAGAATGATTTTTTATTTAAGCTGCCCACCATGTTAATTGAACCCTGGTAAAAAATGACGATTGCATTGTGAAATGATTTCACCTACCTCATAGCCCCAAAAACCATTAGAAAACATTCCAAACCTTAAGAAAACCATGGGAAAGATGTAGTTAAAGGTACAAGCAACTTCAGGATGACTACTGCCTGTTAACATCTAACCATGTTAGATTTACAATGTAAAATTATATGTAGGAGTCACCAATTAAGAATTACTTCAAGCTGCATCTAAATCACCATGTTGGAATCATTTCTAGCCATGTTAAACTCACCACATAAGAGTCACTATGTCAGAATCTCCATGTAGGATTACTTCTAGTGATGTAAAAGTCACTTTGTCAATCACTTTGCCGTAAAAGTCATTTGTAAATCACCATATAAGAGGCTCATTCATATGGTAGGGTTACTTTTTCTGTAAAGTCACTTTTTCAAAACACTTCTGCCTGTAAAGTCCTTTTTAAAAATACCATGAAGAGTCTCCTTTTATGAATCACGCTGTCATGTAAGAGTCCCAATAAAGTCATCATTCAAATCCTTGAGTATATTGCTTCAGCCACTGAAAGTTAGTCTACTAATCATTTTTAGGGTCCCCATGTAAGTCACCCTGTCAAACTCAATAGGTTGCTTCTAAAAAACATAAAAGGGCACTTTAAAAATAACCCCATATAGGATTGCCATGTAAAATCTCCAAATCCCATTAAAGGCCTCCATGTAGGATCTCATGGAAATTTTTTATTAAAGAGTCACTGGTAAGAAAATTCCATGTAAAATCTCCATGTAGATCGCCTGTGAGAATTTCTAAATATGTAAAAACCTGTAAAAAATCACCATTTTTGTTTGTTTGTTTTTGTTCCAAAGCCATGAAATTTTAACCCTTAGGGTCGTATTTGGGGTTTGAACCTTTCGGCCCCTTTATTTCTTTAAAAACGTAAATCTGGGGGAAATTGGGCTTTTCGCCCACCCGGGATGAAACCCCCACCACAAGGGGTTTTGTCCCCGCTCACCGGCAATCCTTTTACTAATAGCTAGAAGCCGGGGTAAACACCAGTAAATCCCAAATTTGGAAACATGCTAGTCTGTAAGAATCCCCTAAGGGAATTCTTCTACCTTTAAAAATCATAGGAAATTGATAGTTTTGTATAAAAACCCTCATCAAAAAAATCATTAAACAGGCTTTTTTTTGGGATGTCAACATGTGCAGCGCATAGGGCAACACTTTTTG